TATTTTACTATTCATGTTGATGTTTGTTTCTGCTTTGCTTTTTCCTATTAGGAAAAAGCAAAGCAGAAACTAGTATCAATATATAAAGCAATGTAACATCAGCATTCGACTGGGGCTGGCGGCGGCGGCGGCAGGAGGATAGGGGACCGGCGGGGCTTGCTGCCTTTGCCTCCTCACTCACCAATCGTTGGTGGGAAGGCAAGGCAGCAACAATGGAGGGCCGCGGATGAGGGAAGATGGTGGCAGGCGATGCAGGGAGCGCCGGCGAGGGTGGTGAGCGGCCCGGGACTTGGCATTCAACCGGGGCTGGCAGCGGCAGGTAGGCGACTGGGTTGGAAGAGGTTGTACTTACCGATCTGTGTCTTTGGAGGCTGGAGGAGGCAGTCCGGGTGAAGAAGGTGGTCTGAGCAAAGCAGGCAGGTGGTCCGGGGAGGTCTGGGAGGCAGGCTGGGCAAGGCAGTCCTGGGAGGCAGGCTGGCGAGGCAGTCCTGGGAGGCAGGCTGGGCGAGGCAGGGCCTGGGAGGCAGGCTGGGCGAGGCAGGGCCTGGGAGGCAGGCCGGGCAAGGCAGGGCCTGGGAAGCAGGCCGGGCAAGGCAGGGCCTGGGAAGCAGGCGGGCGGGCTAGTGGCGGCGGCGGCCAGGGCTTGCGTCTTCTTTAACAGCAGCCGCCACGGGAAGCAGTCTAGGCAAAGCAGGCAGACTTGGGAGGCAGGCCGGGACGGGCAAGGCAGGGCAGCTGGGCGAGGGCAGCTAGCCGCTGTGGTGACCAGTGGTTGCAGCTTGCCCTCACTCACCCTGCAGGGCGGCAGAAGGGAGGCAGCAATGGCTGGCTGGCTGTGGTGCTACTGCTGCTCCTGTTGTTGATGCGAGCGATGGTGCTGGGCAGGAAAATGTTTGTAGGTAGTGCACATGCGCTATAAATAGGGGCGGATGGGCAGGGGAGGAGGCAGTCAGCTATTATCGTGCATGCGTGCGACTGGGCCAGGAACTGCGGATCAGGGCTGGCGGCAGGGGAGAATGCCATCCCCAATTGTTGTGCATGTGCGCAATGTCATGCATGCGCAATAACGTATAAGTGGGTCGTGAAGGGAGGGGTGGGCGGGGGAGAATGAGGCAAGGATTGTTGTGCATGTGTGAAAAATGTCACGCATGCTTAGTAAAAAAAAGGTTTTTGGAGCGTAGGAGCAGCGGAGGGGTGGGGCCAGCCAAGCGTCCATTTTACTGGTTCTAAGAACTACCGGGAATGTTAACAACTGGTTCTATAGAACCGGTGCGAACCAGTAGAATTCCACTCCTGCTTCTAACTAGATGTTTCTGGTTTTCTGTGATTCAGCACCTCTATTCGTTGTTCTGGTTATCCATAGTATTTACAATATTTTACCGCCAGTAACACAGTTCAAAGATATACATTCTTCTTCAATCAGTCATTCTTAGTATCCAATTCTCATACCCATACATCATTTTAGGATAGATTATTGCTCTGATTTTTATATTTATATCAATATCTCTGCTTTTTCAGATCTTATTCATGTTAAATTTTGTAGTGAGGCCTAAGGTTATCTTGCATCTGATTTCAGGTGTAGAATTACCATATTGAACAATTTTTGATCCAAAGAAGATAAATTCTTGAACTACTTAAATTTCCTCGTTATTTTAAACACCTCATGTCCATTTACAACTGTTGTCATTATCTTTGTTCTTCTAAAGTTAAGACCCAATCCTACTTTTTCATTTTCATCCTTGATTTTCTAGATCATTTTTTCCAGGTCTTTCTTATTTTCAGCCAACAGTGTTATATTATCTGAATATCTCAAATTATTTATGGTTCTACCTACAATCTTCACTTCCAATTCAGGCAGTTTCAGGTCTGTTTTCCACAGGATCACTTCAGCATGCAGATTGGATAAATATGGTGATAAAATACAGCCTGCATTGATCCTGAACCAATCTATGTTGCCATTAGAATGTTCTCATTTTTGCCTTCTGATAATTGTACAGTGATCTGATAAATCTGATCAGATGGGTTGGGACACCAAGATTACACAAAGTCACCATAGCTTATTGCATTTTACATGGTCAAAAACCTTTCTGCAATAGATAAAACACATACCGTATTTATCGGCGTATAACACGCACAGGCGTATAACACGCATCTTCATTTTAAGAGGGAAATTTCAGGAAAAAAAATTAAATTTCTAAATAAAAACTTTGAAGCACCGCCCGGCCTCCGCTTGCCCTCCGCTCGCACCGCCCGGCCTCCGCTCGCACTGCCCGGCCTCCGCTTGCCCTCCGCTCGCACCGCCCGGCCTCCGCTTGCCCTCTGCTCGCACCGCCCGGCCTCCGCTGGCTTCTTAACATTATATCGGCGTATAACACGCATACATCATTTGCCCCCTATTTTCAGGGGGAAAAAAGTGCGTGTTATACGCCGATAAATACGGTATATAATTTTTTTTATATTTATGTGGCTTTTTCATAATCTATCTAATATTGACAATGTGATCTTGAGTGCTGTGCCCCTTTCTAAAGCCAGCTTGTAAATCAGGTAACTCTTGATCAATGACATTCTGTTGAATGATCTTTAACAGAATCTTGCTTGCATGAGAAATCTATGCAATTGTGCAATAGTTGGACAGTTTGTCTTACTTTACTAATGGCATAAAAACAAATCTTTTTCAGTCCTGAAGCCACTGACATGTAGTCCATATTTTTAGACACATCTTTAGGCAGTGATGATGCCAACTGGCTTTAGTAATTCTGTAAGTATTCCATCAATACCTAGAGGTCTCCAGTTCAATAATTTCTCCATGGCCCATTTTACTTCTTCTTTCAAAATGTTTGGTTATTAATTAGGCTGTCATCATTGTCATCTTGATAGTAAATCAAACTGAGTCTTTCTGAATATTCTTTCCACCTGTTCTTGATCTTCTGCTGGTCACTTAGTACATTCCTGTTACAGTCTTTAACCATTCTTTGCCATGCTGAAAAGCTGGATTGAATCATTTTCACTACAAACATGGTCTCAGTATGTCCCTTTCTGTTAGATTCTTCCAGATGCCAGTGCTTCTCCCAGTGCCTATTTTTGTCTTTCCTGTTTTCACATTGGAAAATTGCCTTTCACCCTCATCACCATTGGCTCTGACCACCCTATGCTGATCAGCTATTTTGATGGTGTCATCAGATAGCTATTTGTCTGTTCTCTCTAGTTTTTGGCATGAAACACACTTTCCAGCAATTTGCATGATGCTACTAGTGATTTCTCATCACTGTTCATTTGGATCTTTCCCTTCAAATCTGTTAATCTATGGTGTACATAGGTGAGATGCTGTCCACATTGAATTTTGGGGACATAGTACCATTTTTTTACTTTGTTCACCTTGAGTTTTCAGCCACTAATAGCTGATGGTCTGAGCTACAATCAGTGCCAGGAAGTGTTTTAAGAAACGCAACGGAATCTTTCAAGCATTGTTGTCATAAAATGAATATTTGATTTCAATATTGTCCATTTGATGCTGTCCATAGTGTATAAATGTTGCTTGTGTTGAATAAATGTGTTCATTATGCTTTCCTAGCAAACTTGCACTAGGCGATCACCAGCTTCATTCCATCTACATAGCCCAAACTTGCCTATTATTCTTGCAACTTCTCCTTCTCCTACTTTTGCATCGAAATCATATCCATTTCTGAGACATGTTGAGTATTGTCATAAAGTATTCTCGTGAGATTTTTTTACAGGGTAGTTTATCATTGCTTTCCCCAATCCTCCCCATTTATCTGGGCTTGGGGCTGGCATATGGTTGATGAATTAATATCCATATGCCTGGGTATTAAGAATTAATTAAAATCAATTCAATTCTGTTAAAGATGCATTGCTCATTGAACTATGAGTAGAATTATGTGCACAAAAAATGTTCAAATTTTGACTGGCCACTTTTGCTACTGTTGATCTAAAATACAATTTAGCACTTTACATCATAACACACCATAATTATCTTAATCATATTAGACAATACAGTATCTTGGCTTTCATGACATAGTAGGCACATTGGCTAGTTTCATAACACTAAATCATAACAGACTATAATTTGATATTATGTACAATCCCAAACACCATTGAATTGTACATATAAACACCTTCATGCTTCCCAGCCTTCTATTAGTTTCATTCTTAACTTTCAAGGAATCACATAGTTAATTTTGGAATTTCAGTGTAATATGTATCTGATTACTTTCATATGACATGAATTTTTGCTTTACAGGATTATACTAAAGAATACAAAATAATTATTTTGCAAGTATGACTGCTTGTGAGTATCCCATAAATAATGCCTAACAATATTTAGCGTAATTCAGCAGTTTTAATTTTCCTCCCTGCAATGTAAACATGTAAATTAAGGTAACAGTGTATTATTCAGTGATAAAATCATGTGTCTTTTGGCAATTGGCTATAGATGTTTACCAGAACTGACTAAAGCAATCTGATAATTTGTTACACAAAATATACTCAGATAAAAATCTCAAGTGAACATATTCCTTCATTGATTAAAAGGGATAATGCTCATATTACCTAGGTAGTGCAGATCTCACATTTATGAATATAATAGTCAATTCCAGGCTGCCAACAAACTTGCTTATTGGATAACCTGGGAATAGATATTAAAAATGCAAACAAAGTGTATAAATACCCTATGTCATTAGACCAGGCTTAGATTGCAAACTATATATTCTATGTACACACATAATTATATCAATTGAGTCAACTACGTCTGTCTGGTTTACCAACTTCCTTTCCGCACCATTTCCAATTGGTAAACAAAGATTACCGCAACTTTATTCATTTTCAGAGGCCTATATTTCTACCCCCATTCTACTCGTTAACATATCAATCAACAGTGCCAAAATAGGTAAGCACTAGTTACACGTTTGCTCGGGCTGCAAGTTTTGATGACATCCGGAGGAAAGGCACAAATCTGAGCATCTAGAATCCTAAAGCGTGCTTACCATCTCTATAATCTTCGTTTTCCTGCCCGTTTTCTTCTTTACAGTGAAAATATATTGGGCCAGGACTACTCCTCCAACCAGGGCGCATACGCTGGCGCTGGCCACGGCTCCCATTTTGGCTACGGCGCTCTTGTCCATGATGGCACACTTGAACACCGGCTTTAGAGCGGAACTGAATAGAAATTTCGGTCTCAGAATCTGAACTCCCAGCAAACCACTAAGTAGCTTTCTGAGGCCCTGCACGCCGTCTGCCGCCCTGGATTCTCGTGGTATCCTTGCCCTTGCGTCAAAACGTCGTTAAATGAGAAAAGTGAATCTCGTCTCCTGCTGCCTCAGAGGCTCTTACTCCTTTTCTTAACAGGAAGTGCGCCTAGACTACAAGAGAAACGTCATTTGACCCTAACAACGTTCTTGACGCTCGAACTGAGCGAATGACTAATAAGGCTATTAGGAACGGCTTGGCTGGGCCTATGGAAGAAACCATGTTACTCCAAAACGGGGTGGAGTAGTTTCTCTTTTGTCTTTCTAGTTATCTTAATTCAGAACAACTCTCCCGTTTCTCTCCTTACATTATAAAATTGATTCTAACAAGATGCTGGGAAAATAATACTTCCACATTTCATAGATATTTCTCTCTTTGTATGCCGAATAGTACAAGCCAATCTACCGCTAGTCCATCCATTACTTACCCTTTGAGGGGGGGGGGGGGGTAAGACTATATTTCCCAACGTGCACTCTTCGGCCTAGACTCCTCCTCCTCTCACCGGTAGCAAACTTCAACGGTGGTTACAGTCTTCCCGGCCAAAGGGATTTCCCTGGGAATGGGAGGGGTCAGAGCAGACGTTGGTTTGTCGAGGTACTATGACAACGGCAACAAAAATGGCGGTGTTGCTTCGTTAGTTTCTGTGGCTTTTCATTTTATCGTCGAGTAATCAAGTTCATCCACGTTTCTGTTTAGTAGGTATGATTTTATGTTCTCTTGGCAGTTTCCGTTTATTTAATTTCTCATAGGTTTCTCGTGTAATGCTGTCATAAAACGGTTGCACTTAAAAGAGTACCGTTCTGATACAGAGCAAAAAGCTTTGAAGTCTATCAGAAGCGACCCTCTCTAGCGCTCACTTCACTGGTAACACGTGTATATTACTTCAGTTTTTGGAATGCTTCTCTGTAACTAGCTCAATGGAAAAAGTTATTGTTTGCAATTGCATAATACTCTGCAAATTTTTACCCTAACAATAACAAACGTGTGTAAGATTGTCATTATAGTCATGTTATTTTATGCATGGATATTTTGAAATATATCTCCGTTTGGATGTAGTGTGATGTAAGCATCCTTTTTTCATTGGTTCATTTATGCATTTGTACATGTTTTCTGGGTCAACATAATATGCTTGGAATAGTCTTTTGTTAGTGCTAATCTAGATCTATAGTCTTGAGTATTGTAAATTTGTTTTGTTTTTTAAATTACAAGTGAACAATAGCAGTACTGGCATATTCTTAAAATAACTTTTGGGCTGTTTGTGGAACATTTGCACAACTTTTGTCATAAATTTTGTAATTGATAGAAAAATGTTGAAATAGCAGATTATACTATTTGATTATGTATACTTAAAAAACTTCGCATTAATATACTCACTTGATATTATCAAGCTAAGGATTACTCATTTTCTTCCTCGCCATACACCAGATAATTTTAAGTAGGCATTAGTACAAGCTATTTATATTCTGCCAGATTGAGTTCCTTAGCTGTGGTCACAAGGACAAATGTAAGTCAATTATGGTAGAGAATTAAATGATGACTGCATTCCTGTTAAAACCCATTTTTGTTCTTCTGGTTTTTAATCTTTTGTTTGCCACTTAAAGTTTCAACTAGCAAGATGGGCATCTGCATAAATAAATAATACAAAAATCAAAGGGAAACTTTTGTTGCCATTGAAGGGATTAGGATAGGAATAATTATTGCCTTGAATAATTATTTTCATATGGGATGGTCGATAAAATACTTTTGTTCTGGTCTATCAGCCATTCTCTGTTCTATTCTTCTTCCCACTCAGTTTTCCTTTTCTCATGTTCACAAAGCAGCTAGTAGTCTGTGGTCATTAGGGTTCCCCCCTATATACTAAGGAAAGGGGGGGTTTGGGTTTACCAGACCTGGAAATACAATTTTGTATTTTGAGGCATGCTGTTTGGCCCAGTTAAAAGAGTGGGTTAAGCTTCAGAATAAGAGGCTACTTGAATTAGAGGGCCATGAATTAAGGTTTGGATGGTACAGTTATTTATGGTATTGTTGCAGGAAATGACAAGACTCAGACCTTGGAAGCAAAAATAAGTTGCTTTTATTTGTGCAAAGGTTCAGAGCAATATAGCTAAAGCGACATCTGAACAACTTCCTATAGATCGACACTCACATATACATACACTTCAGAAGCAGCAAACCACGGAAACATAACTTGTCAATCATTCATTGGTTACTTTGAATTACAGCCCCCCTGTTGCTAGGCTAAAGTAACAAAATACCTTCCCCTCTCACTAATCTATGTCAAAGGTGTCTTGCCACAGCATCTAGTTTCCGGCAGTACGTTCGTGGTTTTGTTGCAAGCGAGACGTGGTTTTCTGTAACAAAGCTTCCTGCTTGACAAATATGAGTGACCGACAGATGAACCTGTGATCTGACATTTTCCATTTTCTTAATACACACATTTCACTATCTAGAAGAATCATGTCAATATCTCTCTAAAAGTAATACATTTCTCCTTTATGTCCTGCCTTAGTATGATAAAGTTAATGTTGATTTTAATCACCTTTCTAGAGGTGCCATATTAAGAGTTTGGAATAAATATAAAATAAGGTTTTCTCTGAAGCTGCCTCTTTGGGTGTCCCCCCCCCCCCAAGAAGCTCTTTTTAGAAAAAAGATGGTGACAAAGCTAGACTGGCAAAATATTATTTTTCGACTCTGGTGAACCTACATTAAAGTCAAGGGAAGAATTTGAATTAAGTTATGTTTTTCATTGGTTTACATATCAACAACTGAAAGAATGATTTAAATCAGATAAAAAGAGTTGTGGGTTTCATTTTGCTAAAAATGAATTGGAAATCTTATTGTGTGGTAGTGATGAGCATATTATTGCTAAGATTTATAAAATGTTATTGAAATTGAGTTTGGAAAGTGAACATGTAAAACATTGTATGGTATAATTCAGTGGACAAGGAATGCTGGCTATAATGTGATACTTGAACAATGGAAAAATATGTGGCTGAAAGGTTTAAAATTTACACTAAACTATCATTTAAAACAAGCGTCTTCAAACTTGGCAAGTTTAAGACTTGTAGACTTCAACTCCCAGAATTCCTGAGCTAACATGACTGGAGGAGGAGTTCTGGGAGTTGAAGTCCACAAGTCTTAAAGCTGTCAAGTTTGGGGCCCTTGATTTAAAAGAAAAATTTTATAAGATGATTTATTGCTGGTATTTAATACTGGAGAAGTTATCCAGAAGAAGAATGTTGGAAGTGTAAAAGCAAAGAAGGAACTTTTAATCATCTATGGCGGTCATGTGATAAAGCAAAGAAATTTTGGAATAAGATTCATATTATAATACAGAAAATTCTTAAAATGAAAATAAAAATTAAACCAGAAACTTTTCTTTGGGGTTTAATGGAAAAAGACTTGGAGAAAAAATTTGGAACTTTGATCTTATATATGTTGACAGCAGCAAAACTATTGTATGCACAAAAATGGAAGGACACCTCGATCCCCACTATGGGAGAATTATTTACAGAAGCTGAGATGGCAGAAATGACTAACTTGACCATTTCGATTAAAGGAAAGAAAATAAATATATTTGTTTCCACATGGAGACTACTTCTAACCTTTGTGCTTGAAGTGGAAAAAAATGAAACTTTGATTTTGGGTTTTACCAATTAGATTGATATGCTTTTCAGAAATGACTAGCTTATATTATATGAAAAAACAAAACAATGTGGTTTAATGCTAATGCTTTTTTTACTGCAACAGGGGGAGTTGGAAGTCAATGTTTCTTTTTCCCAGTTTCCCTCACTTTTCTCTCCCCCTCCCCCGCCCCCACTATGTCTTCCTATTTACTTTTGTATTTTAACTTATTACCTAATAAAAATGTTAAACAGTAAAATGATTTTTTTCATATTATTCATTCCTTTCAGCAAATCTTTGGACTTCTCCAAGGCTTTGAATACTTTTTCCATGTACAAGTGCACTGGTCTTTCACTGTATAAGCAGCCCTACTGTTAGTTTCAGAAAGAAATAAAAATTATAGTAGATGGAGTCCAAATATCCCAATTGAAATAGTTAGGAAATAACCAGTAACTTCTCATATATTAAATTGTTGCTCCAATCAACACTTTGCAAATAATTTTTTGGAGGAATGTAAAATAAGAAGGAACAAGATATTTCATTGGATAAATAGATTTCCATTTGGGATTCTAATATTGCAATATAACTTAAGAAATAAATCAGCCTTTTTTGAAAATGTGCAGTAATTACATATGCTTGTTGTTTCAATCCTTTGTGAGTGAAAGGATGCATCATGCTTTAATTTATGAAACTTTCTTCTAAGCTGTCAGCATAATGAACATTACCGTATATACTCGAGTATAAGCCGAGTTTTTCAGCACATTTTTTGTGCTGAAACCCCCCCCCCCTCGGCTTATACTCGAGTGACAGATTCCCATCTGAAAAAAAAATGGTGTGGAGCTCCGGAGCTGGGCAGCCGCTTCCCTCTCTTCTGTGTTTCCTTTGCAACTTGTAAGCATGGGGGTAATCGGAAGCAGAAAAGTTCTTGCATGAGGATATATTGTTTTTTCTTTTTTTAACTGTTTTTAGGGGGGGGGGGGAAAGACCCACCGTCATGTGAGAATGCTCAGACACGAAATCTATCCGCCCGAAAATAAGTGGGGTGGGGATTTTAACAGAGGGAAGACGTAGGGAGAAGGCAAAAGCGACGGAAGATCCTTCAGGGAAAACTGAGGGGGAGACTCACCCTTGGTCCAGATGAGCCCCCTTCCCCGCCCCTAAGGAAGCAGAGGCAGCCAGCAAGGGCAGGCAAGCCCCACTTCACGGACTCCGTCCGTCCTCGCTCCCACCCACCCACCCACCCAAAACCACGAAGTCCCCCAATCGTACAGCCCAGAATCACCCTCCCCTCAGGGGGCAGCAACGACGCCCGGCGTTTCCCGAGACAAGAAGCTCCGCTGTGCAATGAAAGCACCCTGGCTCTAGGCTCGCGGGCTCAGAAAACAACGCGAGCCGCCGCCACCACCACCACCTCCTCCTCCTCCTCCTCCCGAGCGGGCTGAAAGCAGCTGGGGCTAAGAAAACAAAGCCAAGTGGAGCCGAAGCCACCTCGGCTCGTGTTGTCTTCTGAGCCCGCGAGCCTAGAGCCAGGGCGCTTTCATTGCACGGCGGAGCTTCTTGTCTCGGGAAACGCCGGGCGTCGTTGCTGCCCCCTGAGGGGAGGGCGATTCTGGGCTGCGCGATTGGGGGACTTTGTGGCTTTGAGTGGGTGGGTGGGAGCGAGGACGTTGACTTTAAGCGCTGCCGACCGAGTGTTTCACAAATACCAGTGGGACCTCCGTCCACCACCACCTCTCCCTCTTTTGCCTCCTTCCTTCTGATCAATCAGGTTTTCCCAGTATTTGCTCACAGCTGCATTTTCTCTTCTGCCGTGCTAGGCGTTGAACGCGGGGATTTCTGATTCCCCTTACACGCGCGTGGATATGCCGCGGGGCGTTTTCTTCCAAACGCCCCATGGGCAGAGAACACTGACTTTCATGATAGTGAGATCGTTTCCCAAATTAATTGATTCACTAACCCCAAAGAAGAAGATGATGATGACAGTGGGAGGCAGGAGTCAAAACCCCCGGGATTTTGCATTTGCAAGGTGCAAAGCGGCGGCGGCGGATTGCGCGTGCTGGAAAGGGCTTAACTGTATTCTGGAGAGAGAGAGAGATCATAAGAACAGCTCTTGCTTTTTTCTTGCAAGGGAGAGAGTGACTCCTGCCTCCCACTGTCGTCATCATCTTCTTCTTTTGGGTTAGTGAATCAATTAAACCTTTCATGATAGTGAGATCGTTTCCCAAATTTCCCTTAAATCAGGGAAGAAATCAGAAACAAACCTTTGGACTGAGAATAAGCCTGTTCCTATGATGCCATTTTTGTTCACTGCAGTGTGAAAAGTGTGAAAAAACACACTTCTTTTTCTTCATCCTCTTGTTCCCTATTTACTGGTCTCTTTCAAAGAGGAAATTGTGAACATCAAACTTATTCTCAACTGTCCTAGTGAAAGTTTTTATTGGTATCTATTTTTATTTTTGAAATTTACCAGTAGCTGCTGCATTTCCCACCCTAGGCTTATACTTGAGTCAATAAGTTTTCCCATTTTTTTGTGGTAAAATTAGGTGCCTCGGCTTATATTCGGGTCGACTTATACTCGAGTATATACGGTAATCTCTTGTACCATATTATTGTGAGGGTATTTATTTAATAAAAGAGAATGCAAAATGAATTTCTAACTTATGCTTTTTATGGTCTACATTAAAGCTTGGTACATTTACAATACACACAACTCTTCCCTTTGAGCATTACATATTTTCTGTGGCTCTGATCCAGAAAAATCTCCAGGGTGCATGAGGATTTATTTGTATGCTAAAATAGATACCTATATCCTCCAACTCATAAACTACTTTCAATTTTTTTCTGAGTTTGTTTAATAGTTGAGATAGAGTATAGAACTAAAAACTCTGCTGGACTGCAATCTTTATTCCTAACTCTGCACTCCTGTCTGTATAGCTTACATTTTTATTTTGACTTGTGGGATGCCAAATAAAATGTCAGCACATACTTGAATTACATAAGCTCTGTGAATGATGAACTTGATTCTCATCAGAAGTAATTAGAATGTTTTGAAGGAAAAAATACCTTCGTATTTTCTCTGTTAAATTGAGATGTTAGATGAGATATAAATTATTTTTAAAGGGTTCATAATAAGGCTTTTATGCTAGTCTTTTTCCCCCACTAGGGCTGACAGAGAATGTCTCTATTTAAAGCCAGGGAGTGGTGGTCTACAATAGTGGGCAATAAAGAAGAATTTGACCAAGGATGTTTATGTGTTGCAAATGTTGACAATAGCAGTAGTGTACAAGGTAAGTGGATACTTTTACATTTAATGTGTAATTAAAATTCTGAAATTATGCTCTTCCAATCAAGTTGTAATTCATTTATTTATTGTAAGATGCATCTTATTAAACTTAGAAGAATTAAATTCTAAGAAAATAGCTAGTGTTCTATGGTAATGTGCAGGGAGTGGATAAAATCTCTGAATCATCAAGCTCACTTGGAAGATTTAGGCAAGTTATAAGTTATAGAGATTCTCAGTCATCTAGGGCATGGTTGTCCCAAAGGTGTTTTTTCAGAAGGCAACTGGACTTCCCTGTTTTTTTCTTTTGAAGACGTTTCGCTTCTCATCCAAGAAGCTTCTTCAGTTTTGATAGGATAGTGGGGAATTGAAGGGTTTATTTTCTTGCAGACAACTGGTTATCTTTTGTGAGGCACAGACAACGTCCACGATTATGCTAAGTCAACCTTTATTAACTAGTAACTATTAACTGTAACTGTTAACTGTAAGAGTAACTGTAACCACGGTAACCGCAATAGCCATTACTGTTGCGAGTCAGCTGACAGGCATGAGCAATAACCGACACGGTCTGACAGCTCGCTTTTATATGGCTCGCTGTCAGACTGCTCAGCCAATGAGAATGGACTTCAGTTCCCGCTCAGCTCAGTCGAACGTAACACCTCTTCCCACCAGTCAAGCACATTCATAGTCATTCAGATAGGCAGGGCATTGCCTAGTCTGGCTGGACCTATGCAATTTGGCTTGCCCGGTCATTGGAGAATGATCGCTTTCAGGGTTAACAGATGATGATGGAGACAATGCTGGACCCTTCTCGTCGGCTGACTCAGACTCAGATGGAGGAACTTCTAAAGGTAGGCCTTCACTCCTTGGCGTGTCGGCCACTCTGAGTTCACGTTGCTGTGCGCTGGCCGGCTCGCTATCAGGCGAGTCCTCTGAGAACTCAGCCCAATGCCCCCTTACATAGTCTACATGTAGGCGCCAAACTCGGCCATCCGACAGATTTATTTTATAAGATTTTGGGCCGGTAATTGCCTCTATTTTCCCTGGCAGCCACAATGGATTACCTACAAAATTCTGTGCATAAACCAAATCCCCAACTGGGAAAACTCTAATGCCACTAAAAGAATTTAAAGGAATATTTGGGGCATAACTGGGGTGGAGTCTGTCTATATGGTTCCTTAACTTTCGGCCCATTAATAACTCTGCTGGGGAATGATTGGTCACTGTGCTGGGGGTAACGTGTTGCATTAGCAGGTACTTTGCCAACTTAGAATGCCAGTCCTTATCCTCTAATCACCCCAGCACTTCCTTGGTGGCCCTCACAGCCCTCTCTGCTTGACCATTAGACGCCGGGTGGGAAGGGGTGACAAGGGCGTCCCTTATGCCCCAGCGTGCCAAGAATAACTCAAAGTTCGCCGGAGTAAACTGTGGACCGTTATCCGACACTAGGATGTCGAGAAAACCATGGGTTGCAAAAAGGCGATCTAATGCCTTGATGATCATCTCTGATGTGTAGGCTTCATGAGGACCGACTCTACCCACTTCGAATATGAGTCCACAATGATAAGGAAGGTGCGACTCTGAAACGGCTCAGCCAGGTCAATATGGACCCTGACCCATGGCGACTTAGCAGACTCCCATTCCCCAGAAGTAGAGGCTGGAGGTGCCGCTCTAGACGTTTGGCATGTATGACATGCCCTAACTCTTGTGGTAATATCAGAGTCTATGCCAAACATAGCTCCGAGCTAAAGCCTTCATATGGGCTATTCCTAGATGGCCCTCATGCAAGCTGTTTAAAATCTTAGGTCTGAGGATATTGGGAACTACTACTCTACCTCCCCACAGTAGGCAGCCCTGTTGGGTGGATAATTCATGCTGCTTTGCTCTGAATGGCATAAATGGGGCATCTACAGCCCGCTCTGGCCACCCCCTTATCACCCAGTGTAATAATTGTAAGAGAATAATACCATTAGAGGAGGCTTTCACGGCCGTAATAGCTAATTGATGATCGTCAATTAGTAGAATAGATGAGGAAGGAGCAGGGTCTATAATTTGGCAAGAGGCAATGGCTCAATGCGTCTGCATGTCCAAGGTGCTTTCCGGTCCTGTATTGCAAGGTATAGGATTATGCGGCCAAGAATAATGCCCAGCGGGTCATCCTAGGGGACAAAATAGGGGGACTTTGTTGGTCATCAGCCAGGATACCCAGGAGAGGTTTGTGGTCCGTTATTAAATGGAAGTGACGGCCATAGAGGAATCGTTTAACAGAGGCAATGGCTGCCAAAGCCTCCTTATCAATTTGCAAGTAATTTCTTTCTGTTGCTGACATAGTCCTTGAAAAATAAGCTATAAGGGCTTCCACTCCGCTAGGCAATATGTGAGCTAAGACAGAACCTATACCATAAGGAGATGCATCGCAACATAGGATCAAAGGCAATTGGTTATTAAATTGCATCAATACGCTGTCAGAAGAAAGCATTGCTTTGAAAGCATCAAAAGAATCCTGTTGTGATTTGCCCCAAGACCATTGAGCTTGAGAGTCTAATAATCTGTGAAGTGGTTCTGCAATAGAAGCCTTGTGCGAAAGGAATGAGGCATAGAAATTTAGAAGACCTAAAAAGGCCTGCAGCTCCTTTTTGTTGGTAGGAACAGGTGCTTTTTTTATGGCTGTAACTTTAGAGTCTGTAGGGTGAATCCCTTGAGCATCAATGCGGTAACCCAGGAAGTCCACTTGGGAAACACCAAATTTGCATTTATCTCTTTTTAATTTGAGTCCTGAGGTCTGGAAGCAAGTGAGGACTTGTCTAAGGTGTTGCAGGAGGTCTTGCATGTTTTGTGCCGAAATGATGATGTCATTAAAGTATGGTATAACGTCAGGGATACCTTGCAGCAATCGTTCCATAAGGCATTGGAATATACCAGGAGCCACAGATACCCCAAACTGCAAGTGTTTATGCTTAAACGCTCCCCTATGTGTTACAATGGTTTGGGCCAGAGCAGTTGTTTCAGTGACAGGCAGCTGTTGATATGCTTGGGCCATGTCAAGCTTAGCAAATATGGTGCCCTTTTCCATTGAATGGAGATGTTGAATTACAGGCACAGGATAAGGTTAGTGCACAAAGCCTTATTTAATGTGCTCTTATAGTCCGCGCATAATCTGATAGAGCCATCATGTTTAAGAGGGGTCACTACAGGGATTTCCCATGGTGCATAAGCTACAGGCTCCAGGACCCCTTGGAAGATCAACTTATCAATTTCTGCATCCACTTTTGATTTGAATGCAAAAGGGACACATCGGGGTTTCAATCTGATAGGAGTTACTGCTGGGTCTAATGCAAAAGAAATTGGGGTGCCTACATAATGGCCTAGCTGGTTGTTGAAAACGTCCTTAAATTCAGCTAACAGTGCCTCAATATCTTGGTTTTGAGTGCAATGTATACCTGTCACTTTAAGCCCTAAAGCGTCAAACCAGTCTTACCCCATTAAACTAGGTAAGGTGCCTTCTACAATAGTAAGGGGTAATTGTCCCTTGAAGTCCTGAAATTTAATTGCAAACTTGCCTGTTCCTATAACTGGTATGTTACGCCCCTGGTAATCTTTGAGAGACAGATTGCAAGGTTGAAGCCGTTTCTTTGAGATGGTCAGAATCAGTCTCTTTAGGGTGCCCCAGGACAGTATGGACAGAGATGAACCGATGTCAATCTCCATTGGACAGTCTTTACCTTCTAACGAGATGGTTACATGAAGTTTATTAATGTTCAGCTGTTGTGGAAAATTGTTGAGAGAGTCAGTGGAAGATTGTCTAGTCACAGTAAAACATTCATCCCTTTGTTTTTTGAACCTATTTGGCAGCTGAGGCTGTGATTGTGGTGTTCTCTTTCCAGATTTGCAGACCCTGGCTATATGGCCCTTTTGTTAGGGTTTGGGGATTAACCCCTAGCAGAGTATTGCAGCAGTAGT